AACTTTCTATGTTGAATTTACTTGTATTCTTTATTTATCTTTGTACTACCAGTTTCTTTTAATAAATACTTTTTCCTTAACAGTGGACATTGATTTCTCCATTTCTTACTGAAATACTCGACAAGGTCCAAACTATCCTTGAATTCCTATGTACCGCTGGTTCTTTCTGTTTAGTTTCAATCAAAAAGGATACTAGCATGCTTAAGATGTGCCTGGTAGTTTCTTGTTAAGACAGACTGGACATTTTTTCCGTCTTATGAATTCAAATGGTTGCCACAGATCACTTTTCCTCGACCCTCGTCATGGTACGTTCTGAAATATCCCCTTGAAGATGCAAAGCTTTGGAGAAAGGTCGGCAATCGGTGAGATTGATTCCAATTTAAAGTTAGACAGACAGATGGATTATATAGCATTTCTTAAAAGTGTAATTAGTTCATCCGAAGTATTACAAATACAGCCTTAGAAACTGCCCATTGTGATTATTGCAATTTGAAGAAAATATAGATACATTCGCTCCTTATGATTTAATACATATGCTACTGGTTATAGGGACGACTTTTGAGCCAACCTTTGACTAGTACCACGGTTTTTCGTGGTGGTCTAGCTTCAATAGACTCATGAATTCAACTGTTAATATTTTTGAGTTGTGTTTTTGACCATTTTGATGATAGGAAATCATATATAATTTTTTTAGTTTTCTTGGGCCTCAGTGTGAAGGGGAGCGTCCCTTTTAATACGAAACGAGAGGGTGTGTGCTCAAGCCTATTAATCAAGTGACTGGAATTTCGGAATTATTGGCCTCATAAATACCTTGACTAGATAGTCAGTAGTATTTCCACAACCCATGTGCCAGTCGACATGCAGAATGATTAATCTACCATAGCACCGACCACGAGGTTGGTAATGCAGACCTTGAGAAATCATCCAGGCCGTGTTGAAGTGACTTCGTTGGTGTGTGAATGGTCCGATATTTTTGGTTGTATCTGCATCAACCAAAATAATCACTAGCTTGACCCATTAGGTTCTCATTTCTGCTAAAGTCCAGTCACAGCAATGTTACAAGCTGGCGTGCAGCCTAGAACAAATGACAGTTTTCCGACAGTATGGTTAAACTGACATTTGATTAAGCTTTACGCAGAAAAGGTATACTGAAAGTTGAATAATATTTTACAACTTTCCAGTCCTGTTCCGCAAAGTTTATGACGGACTATTATGAAAATTTTTGGAGCTTTATGAGTGGGGAAATATTACTGTACAAAATAAACTGTATCGAAACTTCTGAGTGGTACAAATCCTCTATAATCAGCTTGTTAGGCTATCAGATACAAACATCTTATATATATATATATATATATATGCCCGTCGACAGTTGTTCCAACCTTCACCAGCAGCCCATAAATTGCAAAGACTTGGGCAGAATTTAACCACAAAGCTCGTGCAAACGTTCTCGTGGTTATAATCTGAGAGCTATGGAATTTGGTTTCGGAAGCGATAACAACAGAACATTTTGCTGAGTCTTTTAAAGAAAGACGTTTACTTAGTTCAGTGCTGAGAGAGACCAGTCTAGGTGTAGGTTGGTATTGCTATGATGACAAGCTAGAACTTCAGGTGGATCTGACTCGACTTCATAGTCCGGCGACAATTTGAAGTGTTAAGTAGTTCATTTCAGATATGTTGAGAAATACACGTACATTTCGTGCGAATCCACTTCAGAGATATCTGTGTTTGAAAAAAATTTAGTTCTGACTCCCCACGATTTAAATTCATTATACTTATTAAGAAAACCTTATACTGGTACCTTTGAGGAGCATTCTTGGTTAGTTTGACAGTGATACTTTAAACATAATCTTCAGTGATTCCTTTCGACTCCACTTAGGGTAAGGAATTTTTGTGCTTCCTCTACTCCAAAACATCAAGAATACTTCCAATTTATTTAAAAGCGAGCCACGAGGTTAAATCGAATGTTCAAATTCAAGATTTTTGATAAACACCGTCAATCTCTGGATATTTAATTATTATCGTCTAGACAACTCATAGGCAAGCTTTTAACGATCTATGCCGTCCTCTGTACACTTGGGTACTATATACAATATCTACTCAGGTTCAGCTCCAACACAAAACGTATGTTCCATACCCATAGTTTAGATGTACAACACAGTTTTATAGACAAAATGTCTAAATTCTACACCCTATTATTATTATTATCCATAAGCAGCTTATTGGTAGTTAAGTTTCCGGGTCAAGTTACTGAATTCGCTGTCGTCAGAAGTGGTATCAAGCAATTTCCCAGTAGGACGGTACTTCATCACAGCTTATTAGTAATTCTTTTTTATCAGTGAATTATACCCTTTTTTCTATCTTTAAGGATCATTGGTCAGTTGCTACTAAATACGGAAGGCCTTTAAGCAAAAGCATCAAATATGTCGCCCGTAACCGTTTGAACCTATCATGTAACCGAGATCAATTCTGGAAGATCCGACTCGACTTGAAAATTTGGCAGTTGACGACGGGTTTACATTTAACGCTTGAAATTGTCGAGTAGTTGATATGAGACATGTAGCTGATTACGCGAATAGCTCAGATGTCTCCCATTTAAAGGTATCCAAGGTCAAAAATTGTCTAAGTCTTGAGGCTTACGCTATATGCATACGAATTCTTCCCCAGCGAACCTTGTACTAGGAATGTTGAACTTCCCACATAATCATCGCTTTTTTTTAGTAAACCACACTTAAATTATGGAAATATAGTGTTGATTCCGTCACTCCAAAAAGCTAAGAGTACATTCGAACGTATCCAAAGGTGAATAATGAAATCATTTAAGATAACTAAACTCGAACCTTGTGAAGAGCGCCTAAAATTGCTTAATCTTTACCGATTAGAGTATTGGTACCTCAGGGGTGACCTGCTAATGACTTACAGCATCCTAAATACTGCTTGGCACTCCCTTAAATTCCTACTTAAGCTCAGTCTAATCACAAAACTTGTTAGTGGCACCCAGAAACAGGAGGTACTTCATATAAGAATGTAGCAAAGGGATGCCTATAGCTGTTTATGAGTAGTCGAATTCTGCAATTTACTGCCAGGTGTTGTGGTTAATGCGAATTCACAGGAGTCTTTCGAGTGAGGACTCGACATGTGCTTAGGAACTCAAAACAGTATTTCATTGAAATCTACTGATATTTCTGCTCTTTTTTGTTAAATATATCAGTAGGCATCGGTAATCCACTGTTACCAGAAGCCCGTTAAGAGAAAGCTTCTTCCATTTCGACGTCGCTAACCTTTTGATTGAACAATGCTCTCGGACATTTCAACCGACCCACACCAACTTTACTGATGAAAGCTTCATCTGCAACTCCAAAGGACTTTCCGAAGTGAACCTGGGCGCTGACTTGGTGTTCCGGAAACTGCAGCACTTAAGAATAGAGACTTCTCCTGGCCCGGATATGGTCCATCCTGCCATACTGAGGGAAGCAGCCTCAATCCTGGCAACGCCACTTAGCGTGATGTTCTCACACTCACTAAGCCGAGGAAAACTACCGGAAAATTGGAAGCTGGCTCATATCACACCAATTTTCAAAGGAGATCGACGCAGCGAACCTTCGAGTTACCGACTGGTCGCTCTTCTCTCAATACCTTCAAAAATCATGGAGCCCTTATTATGCGATGGTATAAATGACTATTTACTGTCCTAAAATTTCTTCTCACCCAGGGAAGGGTTACTATTTTATGACCAACCTGCTGACTGCGGTGGACAGACGAACAAGCATTCTCGATCACAAGGGGAAGGTTGATATCATCTACCTAGATTTCTCAAAAGCTTTTGATAAGGTTAACCATACATATCTAGTCAATAAGCTCAAACGATTGGATATCAGACCACCTCTAATCGATTGGCTCACTTCATACCTGAAAAATCGACATTTTAAGGTCAGGGTTAATTTTACTTCATCTCAGGCTATGGAATGTCCTAGTGTGGTCCCCCAGGGCTCAGTACTAGGACCTCTTTTCTTCTTGATCTACATAAATGATCTTCCTCAACAGGTAACGTCAGACTTATTACTTTTTGCCGATGACATGAAACGTTGGAGAGAGATACGCAACCAAGACCATATGTAAGCACTTCAGGAGGATCTGACTCAAAATCAAAGTCGGGCAGACGATAACGGACTTACCTTTAACACTTCAAAGTGTAAAGTAGTTCATCTGCTACATGTCGCAGACTACAGTTATAACTTAGGTAACTCCTCTCTAGTAGAATCCCAAGTCTAAAAGGATTTAGGAGTCCTGATGCCCAACGATTTAAAGTCTTACGCTAACTGTGACAAAAATGCCTTCACAGCAAACCTTGCACTGGTAACATTGAAGCGCATTTTTGGCCAGTTTGATGGAAGGACTTTCAATATAATATTCAATAGTTTTATCCGTCCCCATTTAAAGTACGGAAACATAATATTTCCCCCTCACTCTAAAAGGATTAGGACACTCTGGAGCGTATCCAACGGCGAATCACGAAATCAGTTTGAGGACTCAAATTTAAACCTTATGAAGAGCGCCTCCAATCACTTAACCTTTATCCATTAGAGTATAGACGTCATAGGAGTGACCTTCTAATGGCTTAAAGTATCCTTAACACTTCTGAACACCCTATGAAACACCTACTTAAGCTTAGTTCCAACACTAACCTAACAGGTAACACCCGGAAACTGGAGACACAACATAGCAGAACAGACTGTGGACACAACTTATAATCCTTAAGAGTTGTCAAACGCTGGAATAAGCTGCCGGCCGAGCTAGTCCAAGAGACTTCTCAGGAGTCCTTTAAGAGGCAACTTGATCTATTCATTAAGGATTAAGGATAGTATCACACTATGATTTACCAATTTCTTTTCCCTCTTTTATTGTAAACATAACTAGGTTCCTGCCTGGGGGTTTTGGTGGTCTCTTGTTACTAGACACGGAAGCCTGTTAAGCGAAAGCTTCTCCTATTCCGTCCACAACCATTTGAACCCATTGATCGCACCACACATTGTTAACTTATGTTTACTTCATTCAGATTCATGTGGGAAATAACAACAAGTGTATCGATCCGTCGTCAAGAATGACATCTTAATAAGCATACACAGATCCCAAGTCATATAGTTTCCTACTTTCGTCAAGCAAATCATGGAATTTGAATTCACTGCGCTTTATTCAAGCTCCTCGGAACTCGTGGTTTACTGACGGGATTTACTTTTATCACCGTAAACCATGTCGTTATCCCGTCTGGTCGTCGATAATAACTCATACGTATGTTCCTTCTAAATATGTTCATTACTTTCACAGAGTTTGAAGTCCAAACTGTTTTCCAGAATATCCTGGAGGACCGCAGTCACAATCGGTATCCCGCTTGGTATAGCCGGTTTGACCGTCCTTGTATATTACCTCAGAAACAAAAGTAAGTCATAAGTTTTTAGAAAGTGCTTCGTTTTCCACTGTCCCGAGTTGTCTTGCTGTTTTAGTAAACAAACTGATGTAAGTTGAATAAAGCCATTAATAATAATAATAATAATAATAATAAAGTTGGTTTAGTAATATATATATATATATATATATATATATATATATACCAGTCAGGATTTCTGTAACAACTATAATACTTATTACTATATAGTCTGAGTTTTTAACTGACTCAAAGGGGAATATCTGTTCATGTTCAAATCTTCATGAGACCGCCTAGATTCCGATCTAATTCTTCCCGTTAACTTTCTCCGTAAATTATTGAGTTAGTTGTGATTTTAATCTACTGTCTGACGCTCCATCAAAATGTTGTCTGTAGTATTACGCAACTTTCCAATCTTTGATCCTTAGACATAGCTGTCTATCTCATGTATATCACCTTTTACGAGGCTTCGTATATAACGAAACGCGTTACTTAATAAGAGGTTTCTAGATTGTTTAATAGCTGTTACTTGCATCCCAAATAACATTCAAAATGATTTTCCAGTGTAAAACTACTTGTTAAGACGTCTCATTGCAGATATCGTAATGTTAGATTACACCATTGCTCTAGAATTGGGTGTAGAACTTATAACATTCCCCTAAGTACTCAGTTGCTTAAATCATGTTCTTATTGAGTTGGTAAATGAGAGTTCGTTGATAATTCATATTCTTTTTATTTTATTTAAACATAAAAATTGGTATAAGGAGGCACCAAATAGATATGTGCCACATAAACCATTCGATTTATGTGAGGGCTGTGATATTGCCCGGGTGCCCAAACCGAAGCATTCATATTCATGTGAGTTAATCACGAAAAATTGGCTGCATACCTTGGTATTACCATATCTAAGTGGTGTGGATCTGTTGTCTGGAGAAAGACTTTTCAACCTTGAGTATGCGGATGATCACAATGGCGTTGGTGTACACTCTTTGTTCTCCCTTAAACCGTGAGATTGGAATCGCTCTATATCTTTCTTTCTACGAACTAATTCTTTCTTCCTGTACTGTATCCTTATACACAGTCTTTTATACATTACCATTAAAGTGACTACTTCTATGAATTTGGTGTTCATCTTGCTGTGCTAATGAGGTGTGGCAACTTGGACCGTTGTACATATGTGCCTGGTCCTACGTTGTAGACTGAATTACTGGTTTGGCTGTTTGAGAAATGTAATAGGACAGCCACGTTTCAAACAAGATATGGTATGTATCAATTTACAAGGTGGCAACTTATTGTGCGCATAATAGATTTGATTTAGGTTTAATAAGTTTAAGAGAGAATAAAGCATTACATTCGTATGAAAATCCGCTCCATTTTGTCTTACTGTGCGATGATACCCAAGCCATGCAATCAGTTGACAATTAGTGTCCGTAGGTATGGTATATGCTTTGCACCTTCATAGTGCAAGGCACTTTTACGAGACTGACAGGACCCCCTAGGTCCTTCACTTGCCCTGATCAGTGAGTAGATATAAGTAGTCGAGAAGTTCGTGTATCTAGGTAGCTGCATAAGTGCTGGTGGTGACATGAGTGATGATATCAATTCACGTATAGTGAAAGCCAGATCGTTTTATGTCAGTCTAAGCCATCTTCGGCGCCTTCTTGATGTTAGTCTGGCTGTTAAATGTGGGATCTACAACGCGTTGGTCAGAGCAGTTTTGTTCTGTGCCTGTGAAACTTGGCCTCTCCGAGTTGAGGATGTTAGACGACTCTGCGTTTGATCATCTTTGTCTCCGAAGGATTGCTGATATCCACTGGCAACACCATGTTAATAATTCAGGGGTTCGGTATCGTGTGTTTGGGCACGGCGACGATAATTCAACTATAGCAACTATCTTGAAACACCGACTTCGTGGCTTGGTCGTGTCCTATAAATGTCGTCCCAGAGAATTCCATGTTGTGCATTATTTGCCGACTCTGGGATTGGTTAGAAAGAGCGGAGAGGTGGTCAGTGAATGACATGACGTCATGGCATGGAAGAAAGCTGCACAGGACTGGCTTCTGTTGGTCCTTCACGACTCCCTGGTTGGGGTCCTAGAGATAGTGCAACACAGTGGCTAGAGACGTTATCAGATATGGCCCAGAATAGAAGCCAGTGGAGATCCTGCTGTAACTTTATTTATAGAAAATGAACGCAACTTCTTTCGTTGAAATAATTCTTTTTGGTTGTATTTTTGCTAACTGAACTGTCTCTCCCATTATTATTATAACTCCCATACACTCATTTCTGTTCGTTGTTCTTGTTTTATTAAACACACTATACATTCTCTATCTCTTTAAAAACTCATTGTTATTGTGTGGCGCATATGCATTTGGTGCCATCTCGTACCAATGTTTATATGTTCAAATAGAAATCTCGACCATAGACCTAGAATAGCTGAGTGACTAGAAAGGGATTTGGCTGAAATATCACTACCAAAAAGTATAACAACTTCAGCAAACGTTTTACGATCCAAGTTTTATTTCATACTTGATCAGCGATCACTTATACATGATCATGTTGATGCCTTTAATACGTGGTTTTGTGTATTCTGTTACAAACTGTTTGGTGAGCATAATAATGAATCTCACAATCAAACAATTTGTAACAGACACGTTACTTTGATCTCTATGTGACGGTGAAAATGTGTTAAGTTTTTCAGTTATAGTAAAATATTTGTATTTAAGTAATATTTGATGTCAAATTATTCTTTGAAAGAAAATGTAGACATTAAAGAATCCATTTTTTTACAGAAGAGAAGAGTGAAGCAGAACTTACTCCAGAAACACCATTAGAGGCTGCTTTAGCGTTAAAGCTAAAAGGAAATAAATTTTTCAAGGGTGGACAATACTCTCAGGCAATAAGTTTATATGATGAAGGACTTAAGAAATGTCCATTGGATGCAGTTCAGGTTAGTACAACTTGTGTGGCACATATGTATTCGGTCCCCCTTTGTACCAATATTTATATGCTCAAATAGATAAATACAGTACAACTATTACACTTAGTTACCTTAGTTTAAAATGTGATCAATATAACTTTTTCTTTGTCCACAGACCAAAAACTGAATCTTCTTCGTTCTTCAAAGTACCAATTCTGTTTCATCACTTTAGAGAGAAGAGTTAATTTAGTGATTAAGGGGTTCGACTTCTAACCAGTAGGTAGGAAGTTCGAGTCCCCACTCACCATCTTGTTTGGGTATCCGAATAGTAATCACTGACCCCCACACATAAAATGTGGCTGATAGCTAAGTATACGAATCTGTACTCGTTGAATAAGGTGCTTCATGATTATCATAACTTTAAATGCTATCTAGACTAGCTCACTTTCTGCATTCAACTAAATGTCATATGTGTTGTCTCGATTGAAATCAGGAATCAAAAGCTCAGTATGTGAATCTAAGTTTCATATTGTACAACCTACAAGTATTTGTTGTAAATATCATTTGACCAGACTGTTTTTACGATAATAATACGCAAATAAGATTCACAGTCTTTCTAAGCGACATCTAATCTAGAATCTGACTCCGCGGTGGTTAACTGTATCTAAATCCATCCACTTTTAACTTCCACTGGACTCACAGTCAAATTCTCTGGTACAACTGAGGGTGGAAAGAGTCGGCTCTCTCTCCAAATACTGTCATATGACCACGAACATACAGCTACTAACATGGAAGTTCTACTCACTGCCTTCTCGCACGGGAGTGTTTACGAAGTTGTGAAGACGAAAGGCTATTGTTTAGCGTGGACTTAAACCAAGTTGGTGGGTACGGAGAGTCCACTCTTATTCCGAAACAAATGGTGCACATGGGCTCCAGTATCCCAAGGGGACAAATGGCATATGAACCTATTGTTGACCATTGGCTACCACAAGACTGCATCTCCTAACGTTGTTCCATTGCTTTGTTGATTAGACTTTTTAGTCAAAGGCTCGGGGAAGAGCCCCTAAGAAGACCACTTCCGTTTTAGGCACCTGGGCAGTATTGCAGTCCACACAAATTCAGTGATTTGTTGGGCTTATGTATATTTTGGTTTGTGTGTTTAAAGCTGACATATGAGCTTCTCAGGACAAGTATTTACTTACGCCTGTTAACCCTCATGGAAAAGCATAACCCACTCACCAGCATTCTCTACGCAACTCTATCCTGGGCAATCATTTCCAGTTGCTATTCATCCTTTTCATATCTGCTTCCAATTCTCGTCGCAGTGTTTCCTTTGGCCTTCCTCTTTTCTCTTTCTCTTCACGATTCCAAGTTATCGATTGCCTCGTGATACAGTTTGATGATTTCTTCGATGTGTGTCCTATCCACTTCCAACATCTCTTGCTAATTTCCTCTTCAACTGAAAGCTGGTTTGCTCTCTCTCTTATAGTAGGTTGTTTGTGATGGTATCTGTTCAACGGATGTTCAGTTTGTCGTGTAGACAGTTATTCATTTATACTTGTTCCTTTTGATGATGCTTATAGTAGTTCTCGAAGTTCCAGCTCCATACAGTAGGACTGTCTTGATGTTCGTATTAAAGACTACGAGTTTGATGTCGGTTGACAATTGCTTTGAGTTTTGTATGTTCTTCAACTGTAGGATTGCTGTCCTTGCTTTGTTAATCTTCTCTTTTACGTCTGCTTCTGATCCTCCTTGTTTATCGACGATTCTGTCAAGGTAAGTGAAAGATTCCCCATGTTCAAGAGCTTCTGCATCAAGTGTGATTGGGTTAATGTTCTCTGTTGTATATTTAAGGATCTTGCCTTTTCCCTTGTGTATGTTAAGACCTACTACTGAAGAGGTAAAGGCTTTTACTACACTGTTTGTCTTGACCTGCACTTGTTGATATGTATGGGATAAAGGAGTTAGGACATCTGCGAAGTCCAAATCGTCTAGTTGTATCCAACTTGTCCATTTCACCCCATGCTTCTCGTCAAATGTGGAGGTCTACATAATCCAGTCAACCACCAGAAGAAAGAGAAAGGAGGAGATAGTATGCAGCCTTGTCTGATTCTGGTCCTTACTTTGAATGCGTCTGTCAGCTGTCCTAAATGCACAACTTTGCAATGCAATCCATCGTACGAATTCCGAATGATGTTGACGATTTTCTCAGGTACTCCATAGTGTCAACGGAGTTTCCACCATGTTCTATCCACACTGTCAAACTCCTCATAGTCAAGGAATTTGATGTGTGGTGACGAATTCCATTCAATTGATTGTTCAACGATGATCCATAGTGTCACAATTTGTTGTGTGCACGACCGATCCTTACTGAATCTGGTCTACTGATCTCCTAACTAAGTGTCTACTGAATCTTTAATCCAGTTCAGCAACACTGTTGAAAACCTTTCCTGGTACTGACTATAGTGTGATTCCTGTGTAGTTCGCACATTTGCTAAGCTCTCGTTTCTTTGATATATTGCTGAGGTTTTCTTCTTTTCAGTCTGTCGTTGTCACTTGTCCTTCCTCCCAAATCCTTATGAATAGAGTATGAAGCATGTTTACAGTTTCAGGACAAGTGGTGTGTATCGTCTATTTTTTCCTTAACTCAGTTTTATTTATAATCGATTTTCTTCATTTTTTAAATAACCTAGACATTATTCGTCTACAAATATATCACCAGTAAAAAAATGAGAAAGGAGTGATAAACATAAATCTGAATTTTTAGCACGTAGAAAATGGTAAAACAGTTCTAAGGTCCAATCATTTTGAAAACTACATCTATAGCACTACATCAATCGTTGTAAAAAAAATCCAAAAAAAAATGTAAAAAAAAATTTCACTTAGCAACTATTTTCTATATATTGTAGTGTTCATTATATTCTCATTTGTTTTGTACCCTATTTTGTACAATATTTTATTAATTATTTAGGAACGTGCAGCTTTCTATCAAAATCGTGCTGCAGCCAAAGAGAATCAACGTCAATATGAATCTGCCATTGAAGATTGTTCTCTTGCATTATCATTAACACCGCATTATTTGAAAGCATTAAATCGTCGAGCACATTTATATGAAAAATTAAAAAAATGGGATGAATGCCTTCTAGATATGACAGCTTGTTGTATTTTTGAAAAATTTAAAAATGCTGTAAGTGATTAGTATCATTAACTGATTTTCTATTTCTATGATGATAATAATATGTATATTTATAGATTGTATATGAATGTAACCTTAACATACTGTTCATTTGATTGTTTCACAAAACACAAGACACTTATGATTAGTTACTAGTAAATTATGTATCCAATCATTCTGAGTACTGGGTATATATTGATTACTACTGTGTGTATGTGTCTACATATACATGGAAACTACTGGTAAACGTTGTGAGCATTAATGTTATTACTTAAGTAATATTTAAGCCGACTTTAAGGCTCCAGTGTTTGTGCTCTGAATAACCTTCTGTGTGATTATACAATGTGTTACAGATAACTTTTTGTAGTACATTATTTGACTGACCTGTTACGTGTTAAATGATATGATATAAATACTATTTTGAGATTAAGTACATAATTGGCGTTTAAGTTATCTGATTTGTATAGTAGATATCCATTTGATATTATTTATTACATGCAAGTAGGGGAACTCATCGGTCGGATTGTCAACCATGATAATATAAATATTAACCAAGTGACATAACTCAAAATTAGTCACAGTCTAGCAAATGTTTATTCATTCTTATCTTTCAATTACTAAGTTTCAGTGCTATTTTACACCTTTTATCTGCATTCAATTACTTAATGTTTAAAGTGTTTGACTTCCAATCACTCAGTCTCAAGTTCAAGTTCTATTCTACCTACTTTGGTCTGGGAACCCACGCCGTATCACTGTCATATTTAAAGTGTGGCTCAAAGCCAAGCACATGAATTTTTTCTTGGTAAATGAGCTAGATAATCGGAAACTTATGTTGATCCATATTTCTCCTAGGTTTTATATTAGTTGATTAAGAGAGGTTAACTTTACAAATTTTCGTCAGAAATCAATGTTTGCTTTCACTTTTGCTACCTCTACCACTACGGGATTTGGATCGACAACTGCATCTCTGTGTTAAGGTGGTGTGGCAACTCGAACTGATGTACGTACGTACGAAGTTCTACGTTGTTACTGACTGACTGATTTACCAGGTATCAGACAAAAAGTAATCACCATCATCATCATGCTTCTTCGATAAGGAGTCTAATTCATCGTTAATTTACATGGATCGATGTTTATTTCAATTTCGTATTCTGGTCCTACTCTCTGTAGTGTAACAATCGTTCACTGAGTTCCTGTGATAAGTAGAAGTGGTAGAATTCGGTATGCTAACTAGAAATTCCCTAGCATTGTTCAGTGCGAACTCTAATAGTCAAAAAAGAACCAGCGCTCAAATGAAAGAGGAAGCGGTAAACACGCTTAAAGGTATTGTATTTTGTTATTCGAATAAGCCTCACAATAATGTACACGGTAATCATGATTACATATACATATCACCGTTCCTTTCGTTGTGTTTTTATCAAAATAAATTGTGTGGAGTGTACATATATGATCCACATTATTATTATTTATTTATTTATTTCAGGACAACATTGTTTTCATGGATCAAGTACTCAAAACAATTGGACAACAGAAAGCTCAAGAAGAACGTTCCAAATTATTGCATGAATTACCATCAGCTTCTTTTATTCGTAATTATTTGAGGTGAGATAACAGATGATCGTTTGCTAAGAACTAAAACAAACTTAGGAAACTCAAGGTTTATGTACCGAGCTTTTTAGATCCAAAAGTTGGCCATCCTATCCGTTTGCCTGAACTAAAGATGTCGTAAGGAGATTCGAACCTTTGGATCTTACTGTGATTGAAACCAAATATTAATACACCGTGTCTGACGAAATCTCAATATGGGTTTTAAAACGTTTACTTGACTTTTGCTAGGTTCCACCACGTATGGCTTAGACGAATTGTTTGTTTGCCAACCAAAAAATGGTTACATTGACTAACTATACGTTCTCTTCTAATTTATGGCTGTAAAGCGCGGCTTTTAAAAATAGAGGATCCCTACAGGTCATTACTGTTTGATCATTCATGCTTTCCAAGCAGCATTGCTTCCGTGTTTTGTGAACAATAAGTGAGCAATGCTAAAATTAGACTCAAGGTACTTTGGAAAAACGGTAAGTCAATTTGTTAGGTTTCGAGTCGTAACCGATTGATGTGGTTAGGACTTAATTAATATATTACTTGTGCCTAACAGAAGAGCAGCAAATATATGTGTGCCACACAGTCAGAAAATGAGATTGTGAAGAGATAGATGAAGAAGGTTGCAGATAATCAAAAACAATGGATAGATAAAAATAAGTAAACAAAAGTAGTAAATTATGTGAAAAGCGGTTTCAGTTAAGAAAAATAAAACTAGGACAAATTCTTTCAACCGAGGAAGTTTCTCTCACTTAAGGACTCCAACCGTGGGTTCACAAAGGGCTGACAAACACCAATCCTGTACAGTTTTCCTTCTTACCCAAGCACCATATCATAAAATGATCACCTTCCCACTTTTTCTAACCAGTTCCAGAGTAGTCGGTAAGTAATGCCCGATATGAAGGATACTGGGATAATATTTGTAGCATATGTCTAGGCCATCGAGACCGATGTCTCAATATGGTGACATCGGTTGGATTATTGCCACTGCCTGAACTCACATTGCCGAACATCAGCATTGCTAACATGTTTTTACCATTAATATTGATTATCAGTGTTAGTTGTATTGATAATGTCACATGAAATAAATAGAAGACTAGTTTATGTATGGTGCCAATACTGCCTTTAACACTTCTATTAAAGTTTGAGTGAGATAATCATTCTTATCACTTATCTGGTTAAATTGTCTTATACTTTTTCTCATGTGTCGATTGGATCTTTTTTTAAGACAGTTCAGTGTATGTGTGTATGCATTATTTATGTACGTTTAGAAAACCCATGATGTAAACAAACCATTCCTTTGCATGATCATCATAATGATACTACTTAGCGCAATAACTATATATCTTTTTACTAAATGGTTATTCAGGAAACAATTAAACAAAAAGACTACACTCGTTATTTTCTTATGGATGATTTTAACCTTAAAATCTCTTAGTTTTTTTCTTTTTCATCTTACTGTGTTCATTGCTACATTTAGGTTTTTAATTTAAAAGGGTTTCATGTATTGCTTATACCAATGAGAACTAATTAGGTCACTCTATTCATGGGTGCGGATTTCAGTAGTCATATATAATGTATTACTGTGGTCGTGGAACGATGACACTGTCGTAAAGGTCTTCGACTACCAAGTTCTAAGCTAGAACTCAGTTCTGTCTACTTCACCTTTAGTAACTAAGTTGTGTCATTCGCTTTCGTACTTAAAATGTGCCTCAAAATCAAGTACACTAATTTGTACCTGGTAACTGAAGCAGTCTGTCATTATAAATTTGGTTATTGCGAAAATTTAATATGATCAACATTGCATCTGAAGAAATCCAGTAGTTTGGAGATTTGGAACAATATTTCTTCTGTAAAAATGCATGAATTGATATATTACTTAATTTAAATGAACCATTTCTCAACTAATTTCCAACTTATAGTTTTAATTAATATCCTTTCAAAGTTGAATAGTAATTACATAGGTAAAACATATATAAAACTACCCATTAAAAGGGCCACCCATGACCGACCTCAAGTAATTGTCCTTGGCTCTGTAGTCACGTTCTCAGATCGTTAAGACCCACCCTCAACCGAGTTAATCTTTCAAGGTACCTTAAGAAAAAAATATCCTTCCGTCGTGTGGAGAACCCAAAAACGGAAACCATCCTCATACCTCTGACACCATTTATTATAGTGCACGGTATCCAGGTGTGATATTTATACACAAACTTCCTATATATAGGCCTCAGCTGACTCAAAGCGTTGGAATGAGATCACCTTATGGTTTTGGGGCTTGATTTCGTATATTCACCCCACTTTAAATATATCATGAAATAGTATATTTACTTCTGTAATATGACATTTATGTCCCGGATATTCAATACTTGTTGTATCGATTAAACAGTTTTAAATAAATAAAATCAAATAAATGTCATATGAATACAGCGACTACCGTTGGATCTTTAAAAAAATCTATCCAAGTGTTTATAATCACTGATCATGAAATTTGTTCAAACTAGAAACAAATATCTAGAGATTCTCATCCCAGTTTATGGTTTTTACTCCTATTGAACGATTTGAACTTGTTCACTTTTCAATTTATTTTTGTTGTAACTTGTTTACTATTCTTTATAATACAACATTTGATACTCTTACTGTATCAACTAAAAACATGTATGTGTGTCTAAACAGGCTTTTGAGATTTGTATTAAGCAAAGCTTAGTAAATTTTGATTATCTATACAGTATTTATTTCTGTTCATATCTATGGTTACATGCATGTTCAGATTTCGACTTGCTCAGCTTTCTGTATAATGGTGATAATAATACTGTTTCTTATATGTTTAAACCTAAATAGACAGATATGTGATTCGAGCTTAATTCTTAGCAGTTAAAAAAATAATAAACAAAGCCCCCAAATTCTCTGGTACGGCCGCGGGTGGGGAGAGTCCACTCTCCCTCTCAAAATGCTCTCATATGGCTATGCGTATACAGCCACTGCCAGGGAAGTCCTACTCACTGTCTTCTCACCGTAGGGGTATTGTTTACGAAATTGAGAAGACGAAAAGCGAGTGTCCAGCGCTTTAACTGGTTCGATGGATATGGAGGAAGGAGTTGGAAAACCCTGATTCCAAACCGATGGTGCACATGGGCTCCAATATCCTGTGGGAACAAATAGCGTATGAATCAGTTGTTAGTCACCAGCTACTATGGGTGTGTATCTCCTTACATTGCTCCACTGCCTTGTGGATCCGACCTTTATGTTGAAGGCTCAGTGTGTTTCCCCCTAAGAAAACCACCTGCTTCGGCTTGGGAACTCGGGCAGTATCACAGCCCACACACAAATCTAGTGACTTGTGTGGCGCATATGTATTCAGTACCTCTTTTGTACCATCGTTTGTGTCCGAATAGATAAATAAGTTAAAAAACGAAAGTAATATACCAAGTAATGAGAGTGTGATTTGATTTTGAACAAGGCAGTTATCACTTTGCGGTTTCTCACACTCCGTGGTAGGGTACTTTTTAAATGAAGTTAGAAAGAAAGCTGGGTCAGTAGTGGTCTTGACGAACTGGCAGCGTAACCACGGCCGAATTACTTGAGTTTGACCTCATACCGTCCCTTTATTAATCGCTTTAAATGTGTTGGTTCTAAAACATTAAAGTCTTATCACTGGTGACCGAAATCAATGGAGCAAGGTAAGGTGTTCTTTTTTTAGGGTTTATATTTTCTTATTTCTCTCCTATTGTGGAATAGCAGCACCACTGAGGATGCCAGTTGATTGGAAGAAACAATTTATCACTGTCATAATCTAAAAGAACTAATATTTTAGCCAGTATAGCTTAATTGAGTCATCATAATATCCAAGTCTAATTACCATGTCAGGGAACCAGTTACGGTAAGAAAGACAAGGGCTTTAACCAATTTATTACCTCTTATGTTTATTTCTTCATACTATTTAATCATTGAGTAAAATATATGAAATTGTAAATTTTATTACAGTTAGGACGGTCATACGAATAAATATTTTTTAACCACTGGTAATATTTAACAGTATAGCTCAAAGTCTGTTTTTCTTTCTATGTTATCATAGTCAATTAAATGTTTGTGTACACACACTTATCCTAGATAGAATGAGCTAAATTAATTTAGGGTAATCAGTTTAATTGTTACTTACACGTAGATTCTTTTACATCTCATTATTTAATATCCCAATCTATTTCCAGCTTTTCATAATCATATAATGAAGCATAAATAAACATTCCTCACTCACTGTTTCATAAAAGGTTTGTGACAAATTTCGGTATATTGAGCTAATCATCATTTAGAGTCTTGAAGCGTTAGCTTAGTGATCAAGGCGTTCGACATTCAGTCACTAAGTCCCGGATTAGCAAACAATTAGAATTAACAATATTGAAAAAGTCACTAATCATCGAAAAAATAGTTGCAAAATATATGTACAAAGGAATACTAAAACTCGAACACCAGAGAAAAAACAACGAGTAAATGCATTCGAACCGTCTCTGACTACTCTGAACCACATCACTTAACGTCTCAAATCACTGTGAGCGCAGTTATTGCGTAGATTCCAACCAGGTGGTCAACATTTGCCAGAGATTACGACACTTTCAGAATCATCCTAAGCTAAGAATATTTTCCATCATCTCAGTACTTTGTTTGTATGTTTTCTTGTTCATACAGCCAATATTTAAAATTTTTTTCTCTCATTCTTTTCTTCAATTTAGCGCATTCGCATGTAATCCATTCACAGTTAATTCTTCACAACTATCCAAGCATAATTCACTGACTGAAACTAAGACTGCAGTTAACGGAGTAACTGATGATCATTCTGTATCAAATATGCCCAGCACCACAGAAGTACCCAATAATAACAATCCTAATCAATATGATTATACACAATTTAAAGAACCTCTTCAATCAGCGTTTAATAATGTAAATTCAGCCTTAGATTATATGACGAAAGGTGATTATCAACAGTCAGCTGATCACGCAATGAAAGCCGTTAATTTGTTCGAATCAGTGAGTATTTCTTTTATTACAAATTCTGTTATGTATGATTGATAATATAGAAGTAGTAACAGTATTAGTGATAATAGAACAGATTAGGCATCCAAGATACAATTCACAAATAAATAAAATAGTGAAATAGGAAGAATAATAATGGGGAATCATAGCAAAGACAAAGAGTGGATGTACCATTAATCTGATACAACTATCTATTAAGAAGACACAGAAAAGATGGGTGGTAAAAAAAGAACACCTAAGAAAAGATTTATATCAACTTCTGTGTAAGCGATATACTTCTTCTCCTATTCTTCTACATGTGCCGAAATTGAGGCCGGTAGATTTTATAGAAAACAATCTCCCCGAAAAATCATTTGCATCCTTGACCTTAAAGACTAGTTCACGAAGCAATGAACGTCAGAAGATATACTTATATGGAAATCCATGGGATGAAACAGATCTATACACCATATACATATATATAGCACATGTAGAAGAATAGGAGAAGTATATCGCTTACATAGAAGTTGGTATAAATCTTTTCTTAGGTGTTCTTTTTTTACTACCCATCTTTTCTGTGACTTCTCAATAGATACTTGTATCAGATTAATGGTAGATTCACTCTTTGTCTTTGCTATGCTTCCCCATTATTCTTCGTCCTATTTCACTATTTTATTTATTCGTGAATTGTATCTTGGATGTCTAATCTGTTCTATTATCACTTATACTGTTACTACTTCTACTTCTCTGGGATTTGTCTTGATAACTTCGTCTTGTTATATCGATTTGGTATGTGAACTTAAAACAATAAACATTTGTGCTACGTATTCTACGTTGCATTAGACTGACTGTCCCTTCATTCCAATGCCTTTAGCTGAATCCGAGAAGTAAGTCCCATACTTCTGGAGGTTACGATTATACGTTAGGCTAATCCGAAGTTGGTCAGATGATAAGAGCATGCGATCGACCAAGAAATGGCTTACATTCCTTAGGAATGAGATAGTTTTGCTGGTTTAATTTTCTAAGGGATACATATATGAGTACGTATATATGCCGATTCAGTTAGTCAATAAACTTCCTTTCTCACTCTCAGTCTTTCCACTCGAACACCAAACAATACAACATTCAACTCTTTACTATTTATCTATCAAAAACAGTACATGTAAAGAATCCGTTTTAGAAAAAATCTTAAAATCACCATAAATTCATTTAAAAGTAAATATTATCCAATCGTATCACTATAATTTTCGATGAATATAATTATGCCATTAGTATCAATCACAGTATATGTTACATAAACTTTGATCAACGAGGTTACTACTGTTTTTTGATTTCCCAACTTCTGAAATTTCTCATCATTTTGAGTTTATAATATCTGCATCAGTTATTTAGAAGCTGCTTTTTGTGTTATTTCATCGGGCTTGTACAATCTTCTGTCATAAATGCAGTCAATAAAAGAACACTATTGTATTGGAAATCTTGTTATATAAGGAAATATAATGCATTCAAAAGAAAATATTCACAGATCTCACTGAATCTGACTCGATGAAAACCACTGCCGATCAGTTCACCATAAATTCAATAACTAACTTGTGCAATATAAAAACTCTTTAATAAGAGAAACTTATTGACATTTGTCTCAAACTATTTTTCCATTATTTGTAATAATGTCTTCTAAGCATTGCTCATTTATGTTGAAAATAACTTATAGGTGATGCTAAGATTATACTCAGGATAATAGGTTGATAAGATAATGAATATTCATCGATTGACATGGTCAGGAAATGTATCACGTGTGCCCCACCACCTATCTGAAATGTTAGTTGTTGTAGGGGTAAATTAAAAGAAAAATAGGTGACCAAACCAATTCGCGACATCAGTCCATAAAGCCATTGATTGCTAGTCTGAGGTGTGGTAATAGATGCAGACTACGTGGTCCGCAAGATAACTGTGATCAGTGATATAAGACTGGGTGATATGGTTCAAAATCGTTCACAATGCCCCAGAGGAATTCATTCTTTATCTTCTTTGTTAGATTTTAAAATGATCTTATACCTATCATTCCACAAATGCTTTCTTCTCACGCTATAATATGCATGATTAATGTTTTCTATCACTAATACTGTTACTACTTCTACTATTCTGCTATTTGTCTTGATAATTTCATCTTGTTATGCTGATGACGTATGGAAACTTGATTCAATACACATTCGTGTTGTGTGTCCTACGTAGCATTAAGCTGACTGTCTACTAATCATTATAAATACTGCTATATTTCTGTCTGTTTGTTTGTTGTTTTTACTTAGATCTTATCGGATAAGTCGTTCGCAGATGTAAAGAATTTGATCAATTCATCATCTGAGTTAAATGATAGTGAAACAATTTCAAAATCAAATGATAATCTCATCTCTTCTGAATCTAATGGACATAATGGAAATGAAAATGAATTGGACAGCAAAGAAAACAATATCGTCACGACAACTTCAAATAATACTGATTCGCTCAATAAAATTAAAACAAATGAATCTATTCAAGTGTATATTAAAGAAGTTTATAATCAAATTTCACTTTTACACGCTACTTATCAAGCATTAGCTGGACGTTCTGAAGAAGCAAAAGAACGTTTTCAAAATATTGGTATAGTGGACTCTGGAGCTTCATTAGTGGTTCGTGTTAATGCATTGATTAAATCTGCATGTTTATCAATGTCAGTTGATCAAGTAAGTTGAATCAATCTGTGTGTTTATGGTTGAGCTTTTACTCTAAGATATTATTTTAGTTTTAAATGGGATTTTTTCGTAACTAGGCATTGCACATTCACTTCACCAACAATCGAAGAAATCACCATGGCTATCAGACACATCAAATATGGGAAATCATCAGAAGCAGACGATATGCCAGATGAGGCACCGAAGTCAGATATAGAAGTACCAACAGACTTGAAGGAGGATACTTCGTCAAGCTAACGAAAAAAGAGAACTGAATAGGAATCACCGGACAAGATTTTCAACAGAATTGCTGAAACGAATGAAAGATTCAGTAGAAAAACAATATCGAAATCAACACGTTGAATTACGTGAGCATCAATCAAGTATCGACCAAATAATGACATCACAGACCATTGTTCAGCAATCGATTGAATGCAACCCATCACTATACATCAACTTCCATGACTATTAGAAAGCATTCGACAACGTGGATAGGAGAACTTTGTGGAATCTTCGACAACGTGATGTACATGAGAAGATTGTCACCATCATACGGGATTCTTACAACCGGTTACACTGCAAAGTTGTGTGTGGATAATAGCTCACAGATGCTTTTCAAGTGGGAAATAAGTGTCGGACAAGGCTGCTTACTCCCACCCTTTCTCTTCTGATGATTGACTGGATTGTGAAGACCTATACATCTCAGGGAAAGCACCGAAAACAGGGGACAGATTGCATACAACTAGACGATTTGGATTTCGCACATAACCTAGCTCTTCTATCTCATACACACCAACAAATCCACGTGAAGACATCTGGTGTAGCAACAACCTGTACATCCGTATGTCTCAAAATACACAAAGAAAAAAGCAAGATTCTGAAATACAACATAGAGAACATCAACTCAATCACACTTGATGGAGACGCTTCGGAACAGGTGAAAAGGTTAATGTACCTAAGCAGTTCAACTGGTAAAAATGGGGGATCTGATGGAGATGTGAAGTCACGGACTGTCAGACAACACCATAGTCATAATTTTCAATACGAACATCAAGACAGTTCTATTGTACACAGCTAAAAATCGGGTAACTACTACAACTGTCATCAAAAAGGTACAAGCATTCATAAACAGTTTTCTACGTAAAATACTCAATATCCGTGTATATATATATATATATATATATATATATATATATATATATATATATATAATTTTTGTGTGGAAAAAATCTCTGATCATTTCGATTTCGATTAGTAGCTCTAAGAATCGGATGAATATGATATTGATTTTTTCTCCTCAGCAATCAATCAGCGTAAATATCTTAGTCCTACAGAAAGATGATCAGTCAAAATTGGAATAAGTTATTGTGATAACGTCGTCGACAGTAGGTCACATGGATTTGGATCCTAGATGGGAAGCATTATTTGAGATTGTTGGCACATCTTACTAACAGAAGCCAATTACCATGGAATAAAGGTCAGGCGAGTTTTCCTGCTGATTGCGTCGAACCAGCCCATTAAACTTATTTGTAATCGATGTTTAACTTGGTGTTACAATCGGACCATAAAATTCCATGACTGTTTGTTTGAAACAAGTTGGCGGATTTGAATTACCTGGTTGGAGTCTGTACGATAACGGCGATTGGTAACTGGAGTTGCTTGAGGATGAAATGGCTCAGGAAAGTTCACAATAGCACAGATACATTCGTTTCCTTTCTTTTTGTCTTGGATTCCAATATTTCGTCATATATATCTTTTCACTACGTCTTTTCCTACTATATTCTTGATCTTATTAATGTTCTTGCCAAATTATTTTGATTTGGTTTTCAATTAATCTTGGAAATTTCACTTCATCGTATCGATTTGGTATGACAACTAAAGCCAAAGCTCACTCGTGCTTGGTTTTACTTTTATGATAATTGACTGACGTCAGCAATATGACCTCAAACTTCACGAATGTAGCGAGTTGTGAGAATTTCTTCACAAGTTGTAAGCGGTTCAAACCAATTGTTCTGATCTCGATATATTCAGATATTATTGATTGTTATCAGTGATTGTGCGTATGTGTATGTATCGTCTCACTTTCCGTAGATCGACTTTTTGTATTATTCTTTTCTCTAATTCTTGATATTCAACCTTATTTTTCATTTTCCGCAGGAGATAAACGTGTTTCAATCTCCAAGTTATGATACACTATACAAAGCATATGAGATGAAATCGACATAAAATGTATAGCAAAATAGTCTGAATGTCAATAATATTATTAAAAAGATGAAAGTCTGATTAGGCCTAATGTATCAGAAGCTCTTGGCATAAACTATTTGTACTCAAATTTACATTTTTTAAAAGTGATAATTTTTCACACTCATATTTTACAGTTTATTGTATCATATTTACCTTCATACATATTTTTCACATGCATAGGATGTAGCTGCTTGTCTTTATGATTTCCAACGTGCACAAAATGTTTGGCCTGAATGTCCAGATGTGTATCTTCATCGAGGTCAAATTAATCTATTAGCTGATCAATTAGATGAAGCATTGCATGATTTGAATACAGCTGTTAAATTAAAGCCGGAATTTTCAGTTGCACAGGTTAGTAGTTGGCTATACTTATTTGTGAGTGTTGGTGGGTAGGTGGGTGAGTGGACTGTTACATAACGAATCAATATAAGCTGGAGAATGATAATCGTTTATTAGTGTCATTGTTTATGGTTTTATTCAATTTTATTTATTCAGTGCAATATTAAATTCTCAGCACAAAGTATTTCAACAAGTTTCCGTTTCTTATTTTTTTGATTGATCCTGACAATAAGTATTGAGTGATTGTTAGTTAAATGTTAGCAGTCCAGGACTCGACATCCGAATAATATTCATTCCTTTCAATGCATATTGCCAACCACTACAATGTCTCTGATGATTGTACTTCTTTGTAACTTGTACAGTGAAATGTCGTAAACTTTTCATAAACGCGTCTGAATTGATTATACGATTAATGGACATATTGATGTGTTAGGACAAACAAAAGGCAGATAGCTTGTTGAAATATCTAAATGGAAGGAACAGATAGCCGATATATTCAAGCAGGCCGCGGGTTGATGATATTTCCTAGTATTTAAATCATTCAATATTTACTAAGCCACAATTTTCTTATCACTTGTTAATGTATATTTAAGGATTTTACTACAAGATCTTCATTTAGGCAATAACTATATCAACATTGCGCAATAATGTCTTGTATGTTCAAAATAGTAGTTTATTTATTTAAACACGAACACACAGGAGACTAAGATATATATAGGACATACAAATAGTTGAACTTATGCGTAAGCTGAGATACTGTAAGGGTGTCCAAACTGAAATAGGTGATTTTGTTAACAGCCAAAAAGTATTTATTTATTTGAATATACAAACATTGGTACAAAGGGGCACCAAATACATATGCGCCTCACACTAACAATGTAGCCAGTAGTAGTTATCATTGATTTAATTGAGGGCTGTGATAATGCCTGGTTACCCAAACGGAAGCATCTGGTTAGTTTGTGTTGTTTCTAATAGTTTTATGGGTCTATATTACCGTACTGTATCATTGAATATGCAGTGAGCAAATTTCAATTGGTGTGAATGAAGAAACAAAGAAGCCATGACGAACATCGGAAGCTATTTTTGGGAACATTATATCACTTAATTCAAAGTTTGTAAAATAATAATATTTAGTTTTATCCCCAGGTTATTCTATAAACCATAAGCTTTCGTTTGATAGGCAGTGACAAAGGCGGTACTTGTGACTCTTAAATGGACATTATTCTACAAAATGCTATGCTTCACAAAGCCAACATGTTGATGGTGGTTTCTCAGCAGATCCTTGTGTTTTTTGCTGTGTTTTGTTTGGAAGATTTTAAGGATTCGACAGCAATAAGATTTCGCCTTCAGTTGCACCATTGCTGTATCATGTTTGAGATTTAACTAACGTTGACCCTTGGTTGTGACCATTTGTGAAGTGATGTTTGGCTCCTACTGAATGTGCATTAATATTCTGATGCGGATGTCAACATCTGCAAATAAAAATAGAACACTTAAACTGATCTGCTGTAATTTCATTAAGTTTTTTAATCGTTCACATTCTCGATTTACTTTTCCAGCATCATCGGGTGGAAATTTTGATATTTGAAAACATTGGTAGCGACTGTGAAATGTGCTGTACTTTCTAAATATTCGTGTAAAGCGGGATGATACAGTCATAATGTTACCTAAAATTTTAGTAGATAGTCCTCATTTATTCAACACTTGCTATCAATGTTTCCCAATATCAAAATCTCTACTGATGAGTCTTAGATAAAATGAGACTCACTTCCTAAATTCCATTGCTACTACGAATGTTCTATCCTAATACTTAACTTTTTGTGTTAAGTAATCGTTAAGTAACTTTTGTTTCTGTCTGTAATGATTCTAAACCTCGTTGGTTTATAAAATATCCCTATTAAAATATATCCTTCAATGTATATACTTTTCTAATGTTCATCCACTCTTTTCCGCCCTAAAATATTTGTTTGTAATTTACGTTCGTTATTGATTTAATTTTTTCTGTGGATTGTTTTTTTTTCTGCTCTTTGAATTTTAGGCTCAGCGTTTGTACACTCTATATCGATGCGCATTAACTGCTGGTGATGTTAGTAAAGTGGATTCTCGTATTGAAGAGTTTCGTCGATTAGTAAAGAAATATCCCAATTGTTTGGAAACTCATTCTTTATTTGCTCAGGTAAGATAGATATAGAATAGTTTCCAGGTATTTAGGTATGAGTCATACTTTAATTGTAATTGTTAATAATACTACTTTGTTGCCGAAACCGAATTAGGCGGGAGGAGGTTCGAACCTAGGAGTTAGTGGTCAAAAGTGCAACTCCATAATCACAGAGCTGTCTACTCTTATAACAACCAGTATTTTATATGTGAAAGTAGACAGTTGTGACCAGGAGGGCATATACTACAACACAGTGAAATCATTCAAAATCACTTATGTTCAGAACTTGATTTAATTTTCAACTAAACCAAACAACTCTCTTACTTCATATTCTCATTTCCTAGTTAATTCTATATGAATACAGAATAGCATGAAAAAGACATTTATACAATCGAACACTGTCACATACATATTCTGTCTGAATTCCAAAGGTGACTTAATTTCACAGTCCTTGGATAATACATATAAAGACTCCTTTTTGGGTATGCTCACTTTTGTAGGTAAATCCGCTACATTGTAGTTTTAATTGTTGCGTAATCTTCATATGGAGTGTGTAGATAATTTCTATGAATTAGCTATGTGTGTGTGTGTTTGAAAACGTGTTAGCACTTTAAGAAACTTAAACTCTACCAGAAAAAAAAGAGAACGGTTTACTCTATTCATCATTTCAAAGTGGGATATAAATGCTACATTGTGAACGAAAACAAACATGAGAATTCTGTTATGCAAAACGTTTCTTTTTCTATAACGTTACGATTCATCTACGTTAAAATATAATAGAAAAACAGTTAAGAATATGTTAACCATTTGGTTTATCATAAAAGTTTCAATTTTATTGGGTAGTGTTCAATTGTGCATTCCTGATACACTCATTTTAAAACTTTGTAATTATTTTGTGAAAATAAGGAAAAATCCAAATACTTGTTAAGGAGTTAGAGTCTATTTTTGTAGTTACCAGGTCTAACATCAATGTTACTTAGTGTGAATACTCAATCCTACCAGTTAATATGGTTTTATTCCTTCTTTTAAATCATAAACAATTGAGATCTTACGTTTGAAACTCATTTTACTTATTGATTGTTTCTCTCAGATCAGGAAATTGAAATACTTTATTATTATTATTATTACGTGTGTGACAAATAAGTAGTTACTTATCATATTTACAAGACACACAAGGGGCTAGTTAATACAGTGTATCATTTTATCAATGTATAAAGAATTCCAAACTTTCAGTTATTGACAGTTTGTTTTCAATCACCTTCAATACGTTGTTGTTGTCATCATTGTGATCTGAAATTGAATAAGAGTTATGTGGATGCTGTTTTTTGTTTGTTTGTTGCTATAATAGTATTATTGGTATATATTTTTTTCCATATGGCAACAACGTATTTCAATGATTTCATGATTATTTACCTTTAGATTTAGATTTATATAAATATTAGTTTAATCTATTAAGTATTGAATAAAAGTTTGTGAAATTACCTTAAGATTAATCGATAAACGTCACTGTGTAAATGTGTCAATGTTTTTTTTTGTTGGTTTTTACTACTCAGCATTATTTATTATGTCTGAAAAACGAAAACATTTCTCGGTTTTTGTTGTTGTTTTTTTGGAGACGGAGAAACATTCAGTAATTTTTGTAACGATTAGAATTTGAAATAAAAAAACAGGCTGGTTTATTCGATTAGAGAATGCAACTTAGAACTTGATACATGTTTATATCGTTTTAAGTTTTTTCATACCTCATTAGCATAATCAGATAAAATTATCTGAATAAATCCTAGAGTACTTACTTACTTATGCATGTTACTCCTGGTAAAGGAGCATAGGTCGCTCACCAGCAGTTTGATGATTTGCGTAATGTATGTCCTATCCATTTCCATCGTCTTTTCCTAATTTCTTCTTCAACTGGAAGCCTGTAGCTCTTCTAGAGTTACTGCCGGTCCCAAGCCCGGGTAAAGGAAGAGGGTTGGGCATGGGGTTAGCATCCCCATCCCGTACAAAACTAACTCGCTAAAAAAACGCTTACCAGAAAAAATTATTCAAATCCTAGAGTAGTAGAGATAGTATGATTAAGAATCGAAAATACAGTTCGAGCAGGAAATATAAATTAGTGAAACAAAATATTTAGGAATTGAAGATCTAAGGAAAGAGACTGAGGTTGAATACACTTTCATCATTACGGATGATTTTAATCTATATCATGCAAACTATCCAACTAGTAATTATGGTAGTAAAATGGATCCCGAACAGGTAGTATACACTTGTTAATGTGACTTGGTTCTATTGTTAATGACTTTGTAGACTAGTGCCATGTGTTGGTTTGACCTCTCCTAGCTTTTTTGAGCATACTATTACACCAACCAACATCGTTCTTCGAGATAGGTAGTGGATGGGTATATGTAACACATATGCTAATCATCTCAGTTGATAAAAATTTACTGTTTCATCAGTCGATTTTTTTAATTTTTACCTAGTATCCTATGTATAATCTCATTATTACTCACTTGGTGGTCCTGAAGTACGAAATTGTTATGCTTATTTTAGTTCGAAGTACTGAAAATATTCATTTCTTTTGTAAGGTTAATGATTAATTGGTTTTAACTTTTGTTAGGTTTACATGTCTCAATGAACTCGTCAATACATTATATTTTAGCCTATACAATCAATCATAAATACTGTTAAGACTTGTGATAAATGTGTAAGTAGATCAAGTTGTTCAATTTCACATTCAGTCAGTCAGGTACAACGTAGGACAAGGCACATATATGCATCGGTTCAATTTGCCATACCTCATTAACACAACAAGATGGATACCAGATTCATAAAAGTAGTTAATTCAGAGGTGATGATATATAAAAGAAAGATTGTAATAAGGATATAGTACAGGAAGAAAGAATTAGTTCGTAGAAAGAAAGATATGAAGCGATTTTAATCTCTTAGTTTAAGGGAAGACAGAGAGTGTATACACTGACGCCATTGTGATCTATTCTGAGCCATGTCACCAAGAGTCTCCAACCATTGGTTACGATAGTCACGCGGGCCCCAACCAAGTAGTCTGCATCTCCCAACATGGCTCAGACTAGAAGTTAGTGACTTCAAGCACTGATGCCACGTTTTGGTTTGGCCGCCCCTAACTTTCTTCCAACCATGTCCAACACCGGTTAGCATTGCACTTCGTGGTAATCTGTGTTCAGGCATACGTAACACGTGGCTCAACCATTTCAGTCGATGAAGATTCACAACCTCATCAACTAATATACCATCATTCCTTAATACCCTGCGTCTAACCTCACATTATTATAATCTCAACTGACAGATAGATAGATAGATATCATCAACGTAGATCCTGGTACATATGTAAGTTGGTATAAATTGTCATACCAGAATAACATAACAAGATGAGTATGACAAATGTAGACCGAAGTGCTGTATAATTATACTCATCTTTAAAAAAAACAATATACAATAAGTATATCATTTTCACAGTAAATGGCATTTGTAGACATAAGTTATATAAGCGTTTCGAATTATTGAAGCAGTTTCGTTAACTGTCAACTAATCCATTCATGTGTGAATCGATCGTTTCATTTTGTTTGTTGAGACTGTGAACGTTGACTTGGTGTAAGATTATCATGTAACTCTGTCAATGACTGAATTATAAATTTCTTCATTTAGTTTTCAACTAAACATTTTGTAAGTACTAGTAATTGTCTGTTAAGAGAAACTATCTTAAATGGTCAGTGGAACCTTCGACCCGTTCAGCGTGAATGTATGTCTAGAACATCAATAGCGTGTTATGATTATTGATCCATTTGTTTTTTTAAGCAATATTCATTATTGAATCGATTAAACATATTTTGCTTAAAAATTGTTATCAATGATATACATATGTATATTTTTTTTTATCCCCCATTAACATTGATTTCCATTTTGCGCCTCCTACTACTACTACTCCTGTCAATACATATAGATCCTGTCTGAACGTGGGGATTTTAAAGAGAGTGATAAAATATTTGCTGATCTAATAACACTTGCACCAGACTCTGGTTTAGCTTATGCTCATCGTGGCTTATTACAATTAAAATGGAAACAAGATCGTGATGCAGCATTATGTTTCTTTATAGAAGGTATTCAAAAAGATCCTAAATGTGAATTAATTCATGAATTACTTGGTCAATTATCTGTAGAAAAAGGACAATTTAATGAAGCATTAAAACATTTTGATATGGCAATTAAACAAGCTAAAACACAAAATGATTTATCACATTTAATTGCATTACGTGAAGGTGTTAATGCACAATTAAAAGTATGTGAACAATATAAAATATCAATATCGGATGTTTTATCAAATATACAACATGAACAACAAAAATTTTTAATGGCTATGCAAGAGAAATTGTAAAAATAATTAAAATAAACTAAAAAAGAAACACAATAAAATTGACTTCATGTCTTATGAGAAATAGCAACAAGAAGTATGGAAACAACAACAACAACAACAGACTACTTACATCAGCAACTTTGTTATTATTTGGTTTGTTGTTGTTTTTTTCTTTTTCTATAAGGGCAACGGAACATTTGTGTTCCTATGTTGTTGTCTTTTTATTTGTATAGAAAGAAAAATTAATGACAATCATTTATAGATCATTTCATTTTGATTAATTAATCTGTTTGTCCCTTTCTCTCTCTCTCTCCCTCTCTCGTTCTTTATCACATCGATACTCATCCATGTTTCAAATTTTCTTAATTTTTTTCAATTAGGAACGTGTTCTGATTTAGTGCACATTTGTTTGAACATTTTTATACTAATATATATATATAGAGAGAGAGAGAAAGAGAGGGAGGGAGGGAGACATAATTCAAGGGTGGTAGAACTAGTTTACGAAAGAATAGAGAAATACATGATCATTTTTGAACAGGTTCAGTTAATAGGGTGTTAGTCATTCAACCATTAAGGATTAAGTTTGAACTCACTATCTACTTAGATTTATGTAATCGGGTAGTATTGCTAGCCGTCACAATTTGGGTGTAGCTGTGAAAGCCAATTACATCAGTCAGTTGGTAACAATGTAGAACTTCATACATACGTACATCAGTTCATGTTGCCATAACACATTAGCACAGAAATACAAATATCGATTCAAATTCCATAGTGGTAGAGGTAATAAGAGTATAAGCAGTAATCGGAAAAAATAAGAGTTTGAACATGTTATTCAAGGAGTAATCCAGTGAAATAGATTTGGAAAGAGGAAAAAACGGACATGAAGAATTCAGAAGATTAGAATTTGGGAAAACACAAAATGTGGGTGCAAACGATTTTGAGCCATGTCATTCAAGGTCTCTAACCATCGGTTGGTATCATCTAGCGGATCCCAACCAGATAGTCTACACCTACCGACATGACTCAGTCCACTTGTCAGTGACTTCATGGGTTTGTGCCATGTTTTGGTCTGGTCGCCCCTAGCTTTCTTCCAACCTATTCCTACACCATTGAACATCGCATGTCGTGGAAGTCGGTGGTTGGGCATACGTAACACATGTCCCAGCCATCTCAATTGATGAAGTTTCACTACTTCATCAATTGATTTGCCATCCTTACCTTGTACCCGTTTCCTAATAACTGCATTACTTACTCTGTGATCCCAGAATATACGAGCAATGTTTCGAAGACACCTATGATCGAATACTAGTAACCTACGAATATCCTCTACTATTACTAGCCACGTTTCACTGGCACAAAATAGGACGGAACGAACTGGTGCGCAGTAAACACGTCCTTTGGTTGATAGACGGATATCTCGCCTACGCCATAAATGACCCAAGTTGGCAAAAGCCAGTCGAGCCTTCTGTATCCGTACTGATATTTCGTCGCACATCAGACCACAAGGGCTGATGAGACTTCCAAAATAAGTGGAGCGATCGACACGTTCAATTACTTCACTCCCTATCATTAGTTCGGGTATCGATGCAACCCAATCCTGAAGTAACATTTTTCATTTCGAGGGGGAGAATCGCGTCATAAACGTCCTTGCATTGTTGCTTATAATAGTCAGAAGACTGTATTTTGTCAGCGTCTTCACCAAACAGAACTATGTAATCGGCATATTCTAAGTCAACAAGTTAATCTCCTGGTAGAAGTTCAGCCCCTGAAAATTTAGATGAGGAAATTGTTATCTCTAAAATCAGGTCAACGACAAAGTTAAACATGAATGGGCAACCCTGACGAACACCATTTGAGGTTGACAGTTCGCCATAAGCTCTCACTCGACCAGTTGTGTTCGGGTAGAGAGCCTTTATAAGGTTAATGTACTTCTTTGGTATTCCTTCCAGTGACAAACTGCCATACAACCTCACGATCAACAGAGTCAAATGCTGCTTTAAGGTCGAGAAATACCACTATTGTGGGATATCTGGATGTGTGTCTATGTTGTAGGACCTGACGTAGTGTGAATATCTAGTCTATACAACCACGTCCAGGTCGAAAACCAGCTTGATTTTCTCTAGTCTGTTCTTCACGAGCTTTGGTTAGGCGTCGAAGTATCATTGAAGCTAATTTTTCAGTTTATTTATTTGAACAATGGGGCACCAAATATATGTGCGCCACACAAAACAATGAGAATGGGGAGGGAAAAAAGGTAAGGAGAGCAAATGAAAAAAAGAGGAACAATAACGATCAGATTAGTATAATAATAATGATGGGCGTGACGAAAAGGTACAACTAGTAGAAATCTTTCAGTTAAGGAAGAAACAACCACTTTTTATGAAGAAAGTAAAAGAAGGTTACAGCAGGATCGCTACTGGCCACTGTGTTGCACTTCGAAGGTGCAAAGCACATACCATACCTACGGACACTGATTGCCAACTGACTAAGTGCGGATTACATGCCTTGGGCATTATCGCACAGTAAGACAATATCGTTCGCATACTCAAGGTCGAGAAGTCTTTCTCCAGGCAACAGATCCACACCACCACTACTTACATTCATCAGAGCTGTTTCCAGAATGTCATCGATGGCAAAGTTGAAGAGGAATGGTGAGATTGGGTAACCCTGCCTAACCCCACTGCTCGAATGGAACAATGGAGAGAGGTGGTTGTATGCCCTCACTCTACCTGTGGTGTTTGTATTTAGGGTCTTTAAGATGTTAATAAAATTCTCAGACACACCCTTCTTCAATAGACAATCCCACAGAACAGTCCTGTCCAACGAATCGAAAGCAGCCCTGATGTCAAGAAACACTACGATTGTTGGCCTTTGATAAGTATGGCGGTGTTCTAACATTTGGCGGAGTGTGAAGATATGATCAATACATCCTCGAACAGAACGAAAACCAGCCTGTTCCTTGCAAGTCAATCTTTCTCGGGTTTTGAACAACCTACGAAGTATGACGGAAGCCAATAACTTGAAGGCAATCGGAAGTAGACTTATCCCCCGATAGTTGTTACAGGAACGACGTGAATCCTTTTTAAAGATAGGGACAGCTATCGACTCATTTCACGATGTTGAAACACTCTCTTACTCCCAAACCTTTGTAAACAACGTAGTCAGTTTCTTAGCCAGGAAGTCGCCACCATCTTTAAAAAGTAAGGGGAACACCCTACTGCTGTCACACCCCTCTACAGTCAGCAGTATGAATTTCCCCTTAGATCTTGAGTTACTTCTCTTAGTTTTACCGTTCTCCAATTGACCTGCCTGACATGGTAGAACGTACAGAAACATATGTTCCAGCCAATATAACTCGTTTGGGTCATCACGATTGGCAAGCCCGATCATCACGTCAAGATAGCAGCTAGGTTCGGTCTGTTGCATAGATACTAATTGACAGTCAGTTCTCAATGAAACTAAGTACACTATATTTACTTAACTAGTTTTACAGATATCACATGTATTGATATGTAATAATTTCTGATTAAAGATCACAGAATTAACATTTAAAATTCAGGCAGTAAATAACAAATATAAATATGTATTTGGTAAACCAGTTGACTAAATTAAAAAGTATTTATATACATTCAGTGATATTTTTACAATATCGAAAGAAAATACCATCACTATGTAGTTACAAGTCAAATACACAACTTCAGCTGTTGTAATTGATTAGTGAAAAATTGTTCACATATTACACCCTTTTAATGGTGTACTTGTAAACACTAAAAAGTAAGAATTTACTATTAAATAAATGCAAACAAATAAGAACTGTCTATGTATTTATACATGGAAATAATATATGTTGATTAGTGGTGGTCAACAAAAAGATATGAACCGATGTTTTATGCTAGTTGAAACATTTGTCACTATCCTGTTTCTAGGATACCGCTCTTCTACATGACGTTCAAATCGATGCTCATTCTCACCACCTACAAATAACAATGTGAGATTTTAATGTTTCTGGAATTAGATTTTTCTTTTCTTCTATCATGAATAATCTCACTAAAATACCTAATATAATGTGAATTCTCTTAAAACCAGTCGTTTTTATCAAAACTCAGAGATTTCTAATATCATAGTTAAATAAATTCCAGCAAACAATGAGAACTAAACAGTATCGGAGTAGGTTTCTGTGGATAATATAGTTAGTTTAATAGTTGAGATCATGAGTCAATTGAAGCTAGACAACCATAGAAAACCTGGAAGCACTGGATGGCCATTTCGTCGTATTGTGATTCCTGCAGCACTGCCTCGCGAGATTCGAACTCAGGATCATTCAGTCTCGTGTGCGAGCGCTTAACTAACTAGACTACTGAGCTGGTTGACATCTAACGGTGTTAATGTCTAACTTCAACTTATTCACAAAACCGAGTGACACATCTACCATTGTGTTCAGTGAGTTACTATCTCATAACAGACCCGATCGAACTCCACTGGTCACTACTTCTCACTAGAACTCCAGTATATACCTTTTGAAGCTAGTCACTAATAAATATATGTTGAATAATATCAGAAGGGTAATTGGTTATATCAGTGTATGTCATATAAATACAAACTCAATGATTTCCGTCTAGCTCTAGACTTAAGCTTATCTCAACCTCCCTATAATAAGTAAAGTAGTCTTACTTCACCAATTTGAAAATTTATTTCATTATCGAAATCAGATATATCCTTGGTCTTTAAGAATTACTAGTTTTATCAACATTATGGTATAAAATCTTGTTTATGGATGATCCGAAAATCCTAACGACTATAAAATTATTAACCGATTAACATGTAGTATGACTTAGAAGCGTTGAAGATGCTCAATGAGTTACAACTTTAGAAATGATGAAACAACATGCTCAAATTGACTTATCAATTTGTATAGTTATTTATTTATTTTAACACATAGATATTGCTAAAAAGAGGCACCAGCTACATATGCGCCACACAAATCTCATTTGATATGTGTGAGGGCTGTGATACTGCCTGGGTGACCAAACCGAAGCAGGTGGTTTTCTTGGGGCCCACACTCGGAACTTTCGACCCAAAGATCTGATCCACAAGGCAGTGGGGCGACGTAAGGAGATGCAGTCCCATGGTAGCCGGTGACCAACAATTGGTTCACACGCCATTTGTTCTCTTAAGATCCTGGAGCCCATGTGCACTGTTGGTTTGGAATGAGGGTTTTCCAACTCCCCTAGGTGGACTCTCCATATCCACCAACCCGGTTAATGTGCCGGACATTCGCTTTTCGTCCTCTCAATTTCGTAAACAACACGTCTGGTGTGCGAAGGCAATGAGTGGAACTTCCCTGGCAGAGGCTATATACGCATGGTCATGTGAGAGCATTTCGAGTAAGAAAGTGGACTCTCCCCACGCTCACCCGTACCAGGGCATTTGGGGGCTTGTAAAGTC